ACCCTCCCCAAACAGAGAAATTGTCAAAAGATCTGTAAGATTTCATCGTTTCTGGCCACTAATTCAAACAGTGTTCTCATAATTCAGTCTTCTAGTTTTGATGAAGTGTTTAGAGAGTCATAGAAAACCAGTGAAAATATTTCTTAAAAAAAAAAAAAACCCAAAGAAACAGATCATCTCAACATTCAGTGGACCAGCATATAATAGTATGGCATAGTTATAGAGGGACAGAGGAGTGGGAAAATAAGAACTAGAAGGGTACAATCATGCCACCCACATTCAATTTCCAGTTTTATTTTCTTAAAATGACAAGATGAAAAAACTTCTAATAAGCACCATTGAAAAAAGTTGCCTGGCCAACATGGGCACCAGCTTAAATATTATTTAAATAAATTCCATTTCTTAAAAATACAGGACCTCTTAGAAACTTTTGACTCCGGGAAGAAATTTCCTGCATCATATTCAAAATGCTTCCCACCATGACAAATGGAATTTCTGATGGCCTTTAAAAAAAATGGGGGTAATGGCTAGATAGCACCAAGAGGTTGTGCAGGGTCTACAAAGTTAACACTCTGAATTTCAGGGGAGCTGGATCAGCCTCAGCTCATCTATGTACCTCTGCATTCTGTCCATCTGTCCATCACCAATTTGACTATACAGAGCAATCCCATTTGGCGAACTGTGTGTAAAATAACCCAATCTACAATGGAAAAGCCAGTAGCAGCAAGTCTATCTGATGAAACCAGTGCAGCAGACTTATCAAGTGAGTAAAATGCAAAAACCAGTACATAACGCATGAAGTAAATGATGTGTGGAGAGTATCAATGTTTCACTGTGAAATACCATGGCAAACGACACTAAACACAACTCTGTAGGCTGTTCCTAATGCCCTCAGGTCCAGTTTTCTGTCATTTCCCCCAATGGTGGACTCAAGCATGCAAGAGCTTTCTATTTCATTTTTGTCTATTTATGCTCTTGCAATGTTTTGGAAAGGTATTTGTAGGTGTTTCAAAGGGGGAAACAAGCAAATCAATGCAAAAGGGAAAAAAATGGACCTTCAAAACCAGGGCAGGAAATCAAATCATTACTTTAACGTCAAATTTTGGCATCAAATGCTTTGGTCATACAATACTGTCTCTGTGGTTCTGGCTGTTTAGCACTAAACACCCAGTTATAAAAGGTAGGCTTGTTGTAGGTTTATTTTTTTTTTCCATTTAAGTTCTGACAAAACAGTTCACCATCTCCCTGCACAAACTTGAGAGAGAGAGAAAGAAAAAGAGAGCAAGAAAGAGAGAGGTGGCTTGCTTTTTTTTTTTTTTTTTTTGGCTTGTTTTTTTTTTTTCTTTTTAATAATATGGAATAATCTATAAGTCTACAGGAACAAAGAAATCTAAGATGGCTGCTCAGCCTTGAAATGTACATGTTTTGCAGCAAAGTTGTTGAAGAACCTTCCGTTGGCACAGATTGTTCTTTTTCACAAGCATACAGAAGCCTCCTTCCGCCCAGGACTCTTCCGTTGCTTTTCCGGAAGTCAGCAAGAGAGGAGGGGAGTTGAAGACCAGAGCAGCATGATGGACACACACGGAAGAAGGTTGTGATTGGCCAGAGAGGCAGATTTGGGGGATTGGAAGAGATCATTCAGGAGTAGTCAACAGGAGGAAATTTGGTCCACCCAAAGTGATTTCAGTCAACAGCATTGTTTTTCAAGGAGAGACATTGCAGTCCAATGTAATTGGTATCCATTTGTGAAAGAAAAAAAAAAATTAGAAAAAGAATAAATTAGAAATCAATTAATAACACAAGCAAGAAATTTTTCTTCTTTGCGTTACCTAGAGCAGAGAGTATACAGTCATTTATACCATATTTCATTGAATCTAAGACACAAGATTTAAGATGCACCATCATTTTAAGTAACACAAAGGAAAAGATGCTTCTTCATATTAAACTGTGACACAATATTCTCTTATCAATTAGAATTTTAATTTTATACTTATTAGAAGTATTTGTTATATTTATGTAACATTCTGTTTTGTTTCCATGCTTATGCAAGAATCTTTCCTTTGAATATTGAACAATAGTTTAATTTTCGAACTTCTTTAGAACTGCAATTAAATTCAACACAAGAAGTAGTCGTGTGCCTAACTCGGTTGAACAGATATCTCTGCATCCAAGTCTCATATCTGGGCAGTAACACTGATATCACATCAGTTTTCTGGTCAAAAGCGGTTGTAAACTGCCACAAATTATAAGATGCATCTGATTTCCGAGATGATAAAATGTAAAAAATATGTCTTAGAATCACAGAAATACGACAGTTGAAAGAGAATAAGTAACACATCCTCAAGTGCAGCTGCCACGTGATTTCAAAAGCCTAGTGAGCCATCAATGATCTCATTTTGTAACTGACCTGAAAATGGGCTCACTGCAGATACGATTCTTCATTTCCCACTTCTGTCCACAATGCTGACACTCCGCTTTTAGCAAAGCGCCATTTGACATAACTTGTCTGGTACTCACCATGGTTTAGGGAAAGTAGTTAAAGCATTGCAACTCTTGAAATGCCTGGTACCAAGTGCTACTGGTGAACATTTCAAGTTACAGTGGATTTCCTGCATCAGTCACTTTTTGTTTTTGAGACAGAGTCTTGCTCTGTTGCCTAGGCTGGACACGATTTCTGCTCTCTGCAACCTCCAGGGTTCAAGTGATTCTCATGCTTCAGCTACCCAAGAAGCCAGGATTACAGGTGTGTGCCACGCTTGGCTAATATTTGTATTTTTAGTAGAGATGGGGTTTCACCATTTTGCTCAGGCTGGTCTCAAACTCCTGGCCTCAAGTGATCTGCCCTCCTTGGCCTCCCAAAGCGCTGGGATTGCGGGCATAAGCCACCACGCCTGGCCCAATCTCTTTCATCTTCCTCAAATTTTCTGTTACTAACTTACAAAAAATTCTGGTCATATTCAGAAATAGGGGAACCATGTTTTTAAGTAAAGTAAAGGAGGCACCTGCTGGTAACTAAAAAATGACACTTACATGGTCCCTGGGGTGCCACCACCCCAAGCCTCTCTCACCTCAGTGTGCTATAGTAGAATCAGCCCTGGCAAGAAAACCTCGGAACACAGGGCCTGTGTCGGGCCCATCCCTGCCCCAGACCAATCATATACTGGAAAAACCATGGAGATGCAAAGTCATCTACGATGCTCCAAAGAAATAAGACCACAAATGATGTCCTATCAGTGCTATCATGTGCCCAGTCCTTTCTGACACCTTTTTGAGATTCCTTGTAGGGAGTTGTGGAATAACCAGATGAGGTCAGTAGTATTATCTACTTCATTTTCTAGAGATGGTGGAAATGAGGCCCAGAGCAGTTCATAACCTGCCCAAGGCATTCTGACTTCCAAGTCCACATTCTCTTGACAATGGCACTGTTTTTTCTGTCATGAAATTTCCAGAAGGCGAAATGTTCAAAAGAAGGGAAAGAATAAACCTAGGGCAGGGATCGTGTCAGTCAGATTGTTGCAACTGCATATTTTTTGTTTTCTTTTTCTATTGTTATAACAATCCGAAGATGTTTTGAACAACAATAGTTTAAACAATGTCTTTCTACATCATATCTTTATCTTTCTATATCTGCATAAATGTAGGAGTAAATTTCAGGGTCCCTTCAGCCTAAGTTAGTTCACAAAATGTTGGAGTTGGAGTAATTTTAAATTCATTCATTTTACAGATGGGGAAACTGAGGCTAGAGAGGTGAGGGAACTTGGTGTTAAATTGTTAGGGAGAATTGGATGTGCAGTGGTTCTTAAACCTGGCTGCAGATTAGAAACACTTGGGAAGTTAAACCCATGATCATGGGCTGCACCCTAGATCAATTCAATCAGAATATCTGGGGATGGTACTGCATCCTGGCATCTTGGTTCAGAATCATTGGTGCAAAGAACAGACCAACATTGTGAAATATTAAGTTCTATGCTTCGGTCGATCATTTCCTAGCTCTACACCCTGGGTTTTCCCTTCTGTAAGATGAAGATATTACTTCCTAGCCTCACAGGCTTAATGAAAGATTCAGATACCATTTAATTACTCTTTATATATCAAAATTATAAACAATCCAAAGAGATTGGCTAAAAACTGTAGCATCTTCACATGATTGAATTTTATGCTGCTATTAAAAATAAAGTTTCCTAAAACTGTAAAAACATAGGATAATGTTTCTGCCTAATGCTTAGTGCAAAAAGTAACATACAAAACTCTATGTGCATGGTATTTTTAAAAATCTGGTGAAAAGTACCTATGGTGAAAACTGGAAAGAAATACAACAATTAGCTAGAAAATGCTACATATTGTATAATTCCAATTATATAGATTCTGGAAAAGGCAAGTCTATGGAGACAGTGGGAAAAAAAAAAAAAAAAACCAGTAGGGGGAAGGAGAGATGAGTAGGAAATTCACAGGAGTTTCAGGGCAATAAAACTACTGTGCATGGCACTATAATGTTGCATATATGTTGTTATACATTTGTCCAAACCCACAGAATGTACAACCAAGAGTGAGCCCTAATGTAAACTGTGGACTTTGGGTGATAATGATGTGTCACTGTAGGTTTATCAACTGTAACAAATGTACCCCTCTAGCGCTTGATGCTGATAGTGGAAGAGGCTATGCCTGTGTTGGGGGAAGCGGGTATATGGGATATTTCTGAACTTTCTGCTCCATTTTGCTTATGAATCTAAAACTGCTCTCAAAAAATGAAGTTTATTAATTTAAAAAATTAACTTGCGCTATATTGGCCAGTGCCACTATAGCTGACTTATTTCTTCTTGCAATTCAAACAAACAAATCCATTAAGGGTAGAAGTTCAAGATGAATGAATGCCACCAAAATATTGGGCATGTCATATCTGATGCATGCTGTGAGTTTCTTTTTTAAGTGGAAAAATATTAGTCCTGAAAGGAGAAAGACCATACTTTGCTCATAAGATTGATATGAGCAGTTGTACTCACCATCCTTGCAAATGGCTCCCATTTGACACATTCCTAAGTCTAAGAGATACCCACTGGGGCAGCTTGTACAGTTCTTGAATCCTGGACCATTGCACGTCAAACAACTGGTATCACATCTATGAGAAAAACGTATACTTTTTTAAGCCATTCACACAGGCACAGGGGAAGGTGTGTTTACTAGTAACCTCATAATGTCTTAAATTTAATTATCCCTCTGAAGATGACTCAAAAATCTTTTCTCACAAACCCTGCTAGGTTTGATGACACAGGTAGACACTGTGATTTTAAAGGGTATCGAGCATGTACTTGAAATTGAAATAGTAAAGGTATTAAGGTGCCCCCGAGGCAAAGGAATAAAAATATCAAAGATAAGCTGGGTTAAAGCTTCACAACAGTGTCCACAAGTACACGTTTAAACCTAGTGTTATCATTACAAATTCTACATTTTCTTATTTTCTTATGAAGGTAGTCATCAAAAGAACTTAGGTCTAATTGCTAGGGCCCAGGGGGCAGATCCACTTACTTTTTGCAGGATTTGTATCCATTCTCTGAAGAGTGGTCAAAGTAATAGCTGATACTACAGCTCTGCACGCATCTCCCATCCTCCATGAAGTAGCCCTCTGTGCAGTTAATGCACCCATCAGCTCCTGCTCCTTAAAAGCAAGACAAGCACAGGAAATGAGAAATAAAACCTCAGAGGAGGTGGTGTCATGGGCTTGTTTAACAGTTTGAGAAAATGGCATCAACCTGCTATAATTTTAAGATTAATAATTGAATATTCATGCTTTTTCTTAATTTCCCTGGGAAAAAAGCCTTCCCAGTTAAAATGGAACCTCTTGACAAAAACATCCACTCCCTTTAGAAAGAGGAGATATCACTGGGCTATGTAAGTTTCTCAGTGAGGATAGGATGCCAATGACTGCTTGACTTTCAATGAGAATACACACAATTATCAAAAGAGAAATATACTTCTCCAGCATTACTTTAAAAGTAGCAAGTGGGTTGCATGAGTGATGGCTCAAACCAGAAAGAAAAGCAAAACCAGAACCAGGAGAATAAACAAAAGAACTAGGGAAGGTACCAGCACAAGTGGCGCAGAAGCGGTGGCAGGGCTGGCAGTCCTGGCCATTGAAGTACCGTCCATCTTCACAGGAGACAGAACACCGGGATCCCTGCAGGCTGGAAGAAGTATAAAGGGAGCTTCAAACAGACTGTTGTGATCAGGCCAAAACGTAATGACTCCCCAAACTCCATATGTAACAGATACAGTTTCCCTCAGAGGCTAGTGGACTTGGCAAAGCTTCAAAGCAGGGGAAATAGCCCGTGTACCCTTTTTTTTTTTCCCTCCTCTCAATGCTTATAACGTTTCTCTGTGCCTACAATGATGTCCATAGCATACACACATGCTGCTAGGCCTTGGGGACATTCTCCTTAATTTGTTAGACTGATGGGCACCCTCCTGCTTTGCGCAACATCTTACAACCCAGAGGTTTTAAAAAGTATTTGACTGACAAAAGAATCACATTGTCTAGCAACATGCCCAACAACTTCTTAATATCCAGACTTACTACATAATAAATTAAAGAGTTATTTCATGATTATAAATGCAGTAGGGACACATGGTAAAATGAATTATGACTGAGCAAAAGTGTACGACCATCCTGTCCAATCCACAGCTCAAACTCTCTGAGTAGCCATTCTGATTGTGTTTCTGATTTCAGTCTTCTATGGGTTCTCATCAGGACAACAAGATTTAAAATACTTTTGCCTCTATTTCTTGGTTTATTCATTTTAAACACTCTCTAATGAAAAATTTATCAAAACTGTACTGCTATTTCCCTAATCATCTTGACTTTTCTTTGTTATATTATTATTTAGTGTTTCTGGGAGTTAACTATAGTAATCTACTTAAATATCTATTCATCTAGCAATATGAGATAGTATCTAATGAGTTGTCAGAATGTCAAATGAGAAATGCATATTTTTTCTCTCCCTTCTAATTTCTGTTAGCTATCATATTTTTCACAGTCTACAGGTTGATTCTTAAAATTGAAAACAAATAAAAAATTGTTACTATATTTGGCTGGGCATGGTGGCTCACACCTGTAATCCCAGCACTTTGAGAGGCTAAGGTGGGTGGATCACTTGAGGCTGGGAGTTTGAGACCAGCCTGGGCAACACAGTCAGACCGTATCTCTACGAAGGCTAAAAAAAAAAAAATTGCCAGGCATGCTGGTATCTGCCTGCAGTCCCAGCTACTCGGGAGGCTGAGGCCAGAGGATTGCCTGAGCCCAGGAGTTTGAGTGAGCTATGATCGTGCCACTGCACTCTAGCTTGGCTGTCAGAGCAAGACTCTGTCTCTTAAAAAAAAAAAAAATTACAAGTTAATATAAAAAATTACTCACTGAATAACTAGTGTGATTCGAAACATAGTGAGAAAATGTAATCCTATGCTACCAAATCAATGAAACTAGATCAGTATCTAAACAGGGTTAAATGGTTTCCATTGTTTTAAACTCTTTATATTGCTCCAATTGACATCTTAATTGACTGCTTTGTATGTGGATAATGCTAATTTAAAAAATTAAAATTTATTTTTCCCTAAGCTCTTAAAAAAATTTGGAAAGTACAAAAACAAAGTTGAAGAAAAATGAAACCTGAACAGTCCCCATTAGCATTTTAATTTATTTCCTTCCTGGATTTTGTGCATTGATATTTTTTTTTCCTGTTTGTTCTTCACCACTATTTAAAAATTTACAAGTCTCTTGAGGCAAAATGGTCAACCCTGGAAGCCCTTAGAAAAATGCAAGGAGACTAAGGGCAGCATAACTGAAAGTGGACTTCATTCATAGATCTCCTCACTGGCCAGAGAGAGAGAGAGAGAGAGAGAGCGCGCTGTCATTTAAAAAGCCAAAAGAAAATCCCTTTCCCTTTCTGTAGCACTAGAAAAAAGGATATTGCCTTAAATGAATCCATTTGAGAGGAAATAAGGACCACTGAAACACTTATCAAAGTTAAAAAGCTGCCTAGTTTTTCTAATACAGGACAGCACTTCCTTGTGAGGCTGGCATCTGTTCAGCAGGACACAGAGGTTGCACTATGTGGAGAAGGAATGAGGTAAGGGGGACGTGTAACAGACAGTAGTCACCAACCCTGAAGTGTGCTGCTGCTTCCAAAATACAGGTACTGCGAGGCTAATGCACCTGGTATTGTGAACGCCTCTGTTCTCTCTGTGATAAACTGGTCAGGTTAGACCTGTGCTGTACAACATAATCTGGCATACATGGCTACTGAGACCTTGAAAGGTGGCTATAGTAAGGCTAAGCAACAGAATTTTAAATTTTATTTAACTTTAACTAATTTAAGTCTAAATGTGAAAAACTGGCACTTGATTCCATTATTGGCAAAAATTTGGGTCAGTTTGGAACAACTTGGCTATGTAAACTTTTCTTTTTCAACTATAAAACCTAAATAAAGATCAAATATTTCTCATGAAAACAATTTTGTCTGAACTCAGATGTGTTTTAAGGGTAAAATATACATCAGATTTTGAAGACAGTAAAATAATGAAAAAGAATGAAAAACATCTGATAATAGTTTTTCAATTGTTGAAATGATAATATATTAGATGAAATAAAATATTTTTTATTAAACTCGAATTTCCCCTGTATCTTTTTACTTCTCTTAATGTGGTTACTGGCATATTTAAAATTACATATATAGCTTTCAAATTTCTATTGGCATACACTGGTTTAACATACCCTATATAATGTTCCCTAAGAAATAACATAATTTAAATCATCTTTTATTTCTCATGAACCAAGCATGGGCCAGGTGCTACAAAAGGTATTTTGTAACTGTTATCAGAGTTAACCTTTATCATAATCCAGCAAAACAGGGGTTATTATCATCATTTTATAGAGGAGAAAATGAAGGCTCAGAGTAGTCAAGTGACTTGCCCAAAGTCACACAGTTAATAAGTAGCAGAGGAGGATGTGAGCCCACACCTACTTTCTTTTTATTATACTGCTTTGCTCCTTCTCCAAGAAGAATTAGGTGGCTAATTCTTTCTCAGTACTGAAGTCTCGAGATGAAAATTGCCAAGTAAGCTAATACTGAATGCATTCATGGGGGGAGGGGGGAAAGAAAGAAAGCCATAGATAATTGATTAATCTAAATGAAAATGATGCTCCAATACTGGTTAATGGTGAAGAATGTACCTACCTGGAAACTGCCTGGACCCTGCCTAGTTTACCTCCGATCACAGGTGGAAATAAAGATACAATCAATACCTAAAAGAAATCCAGTGCAGCAGAGTTCTAATTCCATGTACAGCCCCAGTCCAACTCCTCACTAAATGCAGAATGGTCTGACCTTCCCTACTGAGATCAAGAGGCTACCTAGTTAATTTGAGCTGTACATTGTTCTCTTAGAGAGTAGACCAACTATTGAGCTTTAGCAATGAGCAAGTCATCCGTTCAAGGAAAACATCTCCTGGGGTTAAATCTATGTGCATACCATAGCATAATGGAACCAAGCCTGAGGTACTTAAGATAAGAGAATGATTGGGTATGTGGAGAGAAATAATAAAGATAAGGGAATAATTTCCGACCATCCAAGGAATGAATCAGGGGGATTAAATATAATTCATTGGTATTACCTGCACAGTAATCCTTGACTGGCACAATGCAGGTTAAAAAGCACAAAGAATGCCTCTCAAATGGCCATTTTTATTGACTTATATCTGAGCCATCTTTTCTAAAGAGAATTTGTTTGGCTATAACCCTTCTTTAGCCAACACAGCATCCCATTTTTCACATGTAATAGTAGAGATAATGCAAATAGCAATCAAGTGCTTGAATGGGAGTCAAACCAAGGGTAGATCGTAAGAGGACTATTTATTTGTTTAGCATTTTTTCATTTTATTTACATTGAGAAGCTCTTTGGGCTGTGTTACTTAATAAAATCCTTCACTCTCTTACCTTAACCCATCCCTACATTCTGTACAGTTATGGAATTCAGTACATGTCTTGCAGTTTTCACTGCATTTCCGGCAAAGATTTTTCTCTGTTAAAAAAAAGAGAAAGTTATAAATCAGTTGGTCAATTGGATTCCATAAAAGCATCAGAGATGTTCTAATGCTGGCTAATGTATGCTATAGTACCTATGGCCTTGACTAGAAAATTGCAGGAAAAGCCATAGAATCACTGTTCGTTATCATTTCTCAGCAAACCAAGTACAGACAGGAACTGTAACACTGGAAAACACCTTACACTTCTCTGCCATTTTGCAGACAAGAAAATGATAGCCTAGCTAATTCTTAGTTGAACAGTTTATAGGCCTTTATTTTCTTCTTTTTCTTCCTAGTCTCTCTCCCCAGCAGGGTTTCCTAACTTGCAACAGTGCAAATCCCACTCACGAAGCTGGGACAACATCACTCTATAAGGACTGAGAGGCAATGCCTGAGACGGAGGAATGGGAATGTAGACCCTCATGCTCATAACTTTTAGGGCTGGTCAGTTGAGCTGAACTAGAGAAGGGAATCTACATTTAAGACTGCAAGGTAAGGATTGCTTATTTCTTACATTGTTTATTTTAAACACTATTTCAGTGTCTTGCAGTTTACAGCAGCCGTGGAATTGGTATAAATGTTATTATCATTCAGATAATATCTATATTCTGGAGAATAGAAATGCATCATTTGAACAAGTATACTGTAAATACTTGCCTTCCTAGTTACTACCAGGTCCATATTGAAAAAAGTTGGCAAATTCATGGTTGTTCTGTGGAGGATAACATTGGGCATATTAAGGAAGGACTTCTACCTTAGACAAAATTTCGCTAAAGTCTTGGTACCTGCTCTGATATGCAAGTGGATTATAGCCATGTGAATGTGTAGAACTGAATGAAGCTTTCTTCATGGGCTTCCATCTGCTTTTTAAATGTTGGTGTTCTTCAGGGTTCCATAGAGAAACACAACTTAGTGGATCCCTGCAAGGACCTGCTGGATCAAGTCTGAGCCTCTGAGCATGAAATACGAAGCCCCTTACAGTCTTAACAGTAGTCACCACATGGTCTCTCTCACTGTCTCACTGAGAATACTGAACATGCATAGAATCTTAACTCAGATGACCTAGATTTGCATTCTGCTTTTAGCATCTCCAGTGGGCAAGTTCAGGGTCTCTGTTCTCTCACTCATTAAATGGAGATTACAATGTTACCCACCTCTCTGGTTGTCTTGAGAAGTTAAATAAAATTAATTATTCAAGGGAACGATATGAACTATTAAGCACGTAAATGTGTTGGCAGTAATTATTACTAGTCATGATCATATGTGATCATTATGTTGTACATAAATGGAGTCATTAGAGAAGAAAACTATAACATAAGGCAATTACATAGAAAGAGAGAGATATACAAACTACTTGTATCAACACTTTGTGGTAGCTGAAGTCATAGTTTGAACACCTTAATTATCTACCTTCTAGGCTCTGGAAGCAACTGACTCTCAATTACCTTGGTTCTGTCATACAACATTCCAGAATCAAATTCCTTTTCCAAGGCTCAACCTTCTTGATAGAATTTTGACTTTTTTTCCCCACAAGGAATACTGCATATTTCTGTGGATTCTTTATGCCCCCTTCTCTATCCCAATTTCTCTTTTCTCCCTCAAGTCAAAGTTCTAAATTTTGGGGCAAGCAAGAAAGGCAGAGTCCCTACCCACTGCCCTAAAGGGTAAGTTGAGAGATCCTGTCTGCCTCACAGAGAAATGCTCCTCTTTGAAACCAGAGGAGCAAATTTCACTTCTTAAGAAGCAAGAGTATTCACTTCAGATTTCTTGTCTGATTTTATTTTAAATAACTCTTGTTCCTTTAAACTTGAGTTTTCTTTTTTCTTTCTTAGGTTGTGCAGACACATGAAATTTCAGTGCCATCATATACCATGGTATGACATTCTTGTTAAGAGAAATTATCCAGAACTCAGAAATAAAGTAAAAGATAACTGCAGTCCTTTTCAGAGCCACACTAGAACACTGTCTAAAAGGTCTACCTTAAGATTATTTAATTCTCTAGGGCAATATACCTTCGTCTGTTTGCTAGTGATGGCTGATTATGGCCCAAACTCTGTGTTAATGCACAGATTTTTGTTTGGTAAGGTTGCAAATTACTTCTATTCATTAGAAAAAAAACCACTTCCCCAAATTCTACTTGTATGGCCATGTAGAAAATTATTAAATGATTCCATTTTGTTTCTAACTTAGCAAAAGGATTTCCATTTTGCCTTTCCTGGTGGACTACAGTACCTGATCATCTTTCCGCCCTCTTCATCACCTTGCAAGTTCCCTTATTAGTGGGTTAAATAAGTTATCGACAAATGTTCATTCTACTCTTAAAAGACAGTCATATTTTTTGAACTTTTTAAAAAGTATATTTTGATATCATACAGGCCCGGTGTCTATTTGGTCAGTGTGCGGAAAAGAGCAGGCCTGAATGTTGTCCTTTGCAAATCTGCTTGTAAGGTTGGTCCACGGCTGGCACATCTGGGAACTTGAATTTTGGGAGGTTCCCACTACCCTGAAAAGAGTGGCTCACTTTGTCTAAACTGTTTGTATAAATAATATGGTTTATGGGGAACACCTATTTTCCTTCGAAGAGTCTGGAATTTTGGTACGTGTCAGGTCTGACCAGCCCCCAGTGACAACCCTGGGCCCTGAGTCTCTAATGAGGTTCCCTGGTAGACAACATTTCATGCATGTCGTCACAGATTGTTGCATGGGGAACTGAACACGTCCTGTGTGGCTGAACCTTGTCCCATATGCCTTTTCCCGTGGATGATTTTTTTGCTGTAATATCTCCTATCTATGAGTTCATGAGCACGACTATATCCCAAGCCTTGTGAATATTCCCAGCAAATCACTGAATCGGGGGGTGGGCTTGAGGATACCCTGATAAAGTTACAAGCATTTTTACATAAAGCTTCTAAAGGGTTTGCTTAAAATAAATGAAACTAGATCCTGTTTGATATGAAGCACAATTCCAGATTTCCCAAAGAGGACTATCCCTCCTGAGGTCACGCAAATGAAAACCCCACATTTCTTCTCTAAAACCCAAATATTTGAAGTGAGCTTACTGGTATCCTGATATGACCCATCGGGGCAGTGAGTAACACAGCTGTTGGTTTCTTCATTCAGAAAGTATCCATATTTGCAGGACAGGCACTGGTCACCATGGCTCCCAAAGCAGGACTCACAGTTGGGGGCACACTTCCTGCAGCGCTTCTTGTCGGCGTGGTAGTGGCCAGGGGGGCAGCTGGAGACACAGATCCTGCATTGTGAAACAATAAGAAAGAAGGCAGCGTCACGAGCGAAGCAGTCCTCAGCATTCTCTTGCAGGTGTTGAGCAAATGGCTGAGCTCAGCCTCCAAATCACTTTTAAACCAGGATGCCAACACCACATCCAGAGAGCCAGATTGTTTGTTAAACTTCCTCCTGCACAGTGTGCTGAAGTAGCAATGCAGTTACCCAACACCAAGTCTACCAAGACTTGTCAAACCATTTCCTGGTTTACACCTAGCCCTTGAAAAAGGATGACGGTTACAGAGAGGAAGGTTATGGGGGTGAATCACAGGAAAACTATGTGGGAACCACGACTTCATTCAAAAAGGTCCCTTTAATAAGGTGTGACTTCTATTTTCATGTGTTGTTTGTCATATGGATCTTGTATGTGCATATGCGAGTGGCGGTGGTGGTTGTATGCTGTTGTCTAAATTAATATAAATATATTTAAATTTATGTTGTGTATGAGAACACTTAAAAAAACTTTCTGGTTTGCCCATAATGGAAGGACAGAGTTTTATTTATCCATTCAACAAATATTTACTGAGCACCAATTAAATGTTAGGCATTTTGCTAAGTGTAGGAGATAACAGAGGCTGAGAGATAGTCAAAGTCCTCTTTTCTCTTAAGGAATTTAAATTCCGGCAGACTTACAACAGGAATTCTTAACATGTCTGGGTCTGTCTGGGGGACTGGAGTATGGAGGAACCTTGAGGCAGCTCCGCTTAGTGAGTTTTCGCCTGAAGGAGGAGGGAGAAGGTGGGTGAGGCTGTGGGAGACAACGGGAGGTCAGGATGAACTCTGATTGGGGCAGTCTCCATCCTTTGGCCCTGCCCAGGAAACGTATCTGCACAGCTCAAGCAGACACCAGGGGCTCAGAGGCACACGGTCCACCTTAGTGCCCAGGGCAGAAGAGTGAGATCAAGCAGGACCAACCCCTTTGCCACACTGATGGCCTATATGCTGGGGAATGTGGAAAAGCATGAGTTTGGCCTGTGCATTGGCATCTTTGTAAAGCCATGAAATCGAATATCAGTGGGGTGGAAAGGACACAAAACTTGTGTGAGATGGGAGGAATAAGTTCAAGAAATCTGTCATGATGACTAGAGTTAATAACAATTCATTGTGTACTTGAAAACTGTCACAAGAGTAGTGTTTAAGTGTTCTGGCCACAAAAAAAGATAAGTATGTGAGCTAATGCATATGTTAAATAGCTTGATTTAGCTGTTCCAAAATGTGTGTATGTATGTGTGTATGTGTGTATATATGTGTGTATATACATATACATACATACACACATACACACACACATATATAACATCAGGTTGTGCATTATAAATACATGCAATTTTTACTTGTCAATTAAAAAAAAGAAAAAGAAAGGTCTGGAGGGGCAGGGGCTTAGCTGGTCCCTCCACCATCCTCCAAATGTGAGAGAAGACATTGCAGTTTCACAGCATACATGCACATTTTGCGTTTTGTAACTCAATATAGTTTTCACCATTCTGAATAACACAGGGAGGCAGTCGGCCTGCACAGCAGCCTCTTTTCTGTGCTTAGGTCCTGGTGGGAGAATAGTGCAAGATGCCAGTGGCCTGCACACACACCATGGTATTAGTCTTGCAGGGACTCCTAACATGCTGGCACATGCTGTGGGGATGTGACTTGGCCCCTCTCTTACCTGGTATTGTTTTTCAGCTTGTAGTAGTAGTGCAAACAGTCATTGCAGTGGTCTGGTCCTGGCCCGTCACAGCCAACCTCACTGCACTCAGGGTCGCAGGGACCTTTCCAAAAGACATTAGAACAATACTTGGAAAAATGATTTTAGAGCAGGTAAGCTTTACCTTGAATTTGGTATAAAATAAGTCTTTTGTTTTTTTCTTATGCAGAGAGTTTCTTTAAGAAAGAGGAATAATAGTCAATGTGGCTTTAGGTCCAGAGATGAGCTCTTGACTTTTTTCGACTTTTGATTCTTAGGCAATTTCAATTGCCTAGGTATAAAGAATGTAAATTCTAGTCATGGCCTGGTCTTCAAAGCACATATGGCTGCCTCGTGGTAGATAAATATTTTAGAATTCAAATGAACTGTAGCAACTGGAAAAAAACCAACTGCAATTAAGTATGTGTAATAATAAAAAGATTGGATTTGTAGAAAAGAGAGAAGTTGTTGACAAAAAAGAAAAAAGAGTTATTATTTAATGCTTAGACCAAATGACCTGTCTCATTTAAGATCATTAAAGCTACTGAATACCTCTCAAATACTGTGGCCGGGAAGAAACGCCATTACGGCACCTGGCACAAGCTTATTAGCATCCAGTCTCAGACACAGATAATAGATTTGAAATTGCTTCCTATACAAAGGCCAATGGGCAATTCGACAAAAGAAAATGATATATAAATTTAAGAAAATGCAAGCAAGTTTAAAGGATTCCAGACCTGAGATGAAAGTTCCCAATCTCTCTTACTACTTATTCTTTGGTATAGAACTGGAGACAATGCACAGTAAGAAAAAAAAAAAATGTCAGAAAGATGGAGCACTTTTGTGATTGATGAAAAACTTTCTAATGACATAGGCTAGTTTAGAAGTTTTTAATTCTTCTCCTCTTTGTTCGCCATATTCTGGAACATTTGGTCTCATAATCTGCAAACTCTTTCCCACTGAAAATTCATATGATTTTAACTAGCAATAAATATATTGAATGAAATGTACAAATAGCAAATCAAGGGTAGTAGAAAATCTACTTATTTTAACCCAAAGGACTTACTGTTATACCTTGGTTTCTTTGAGTCATTATGGGACTATGTTTCATAATTACTGAATCACAGAAACATAAAATGTTAGATCTCGGGTGGAATGACTTAGAGAAAAATTTGGTAGTCAAATACCCTCATTTTACTGATGAGGAAACTGATTTTCCAAGAATTTCAGTGGCTTGCCCAGTATCACATGGTGAGGAGAGGGGTCAACGTAGGTCCTGATACCTCGGTAAAAATTTCCTGCTTAGAGGTAGCAAATCATGTACTAGGGATGACTTCTCCATCTGAATGGAAATAAGTCATTTCAAAATGCTGCAGACTTGAATATACTTCTGATTAACTCCAAGAGTCATTTGACAGCACTGCTTTTTCTATTTTCCCCAAAGCTTCAAATTGATCTCTAAATTCCATAGCTACTGCAACTTGGGACATTTTAGCCGTCTGCCATCGTACACCAGGGGAGTGGTGTCTCTGCTGCCTATGGACTGAAGTTCAGCCAGCTGTGATCTCACAGTCCCTGGGATCCAATGACACAGTATGGGAATCTGGTTATGATAACGCCATCTGTGTCTCTAATCTGGCTGACTTCTAAATGAAGGTGAAAATTGCAGCTCCAAAGGAAAGGAGTCATGGGTGGCCCTAAATTTTCACCAGATGACTTCTAGAATTAAAAAAAAAAAATCTCAAACATTTATTCTTGATATTTGCCAAAAGGGCTCTCACTGTATGGCAAGTTCACATGCTATGCTGTTTCTTTTATCATCTTAAACTCTCCCAGATGCAGTTTAGCATTGTAGGTTGCAGGATAATAATGCAATACTTGTCTTGGTTCTCTCACAAGTGCCAATGTTGATGTTTTAGAGATATAATCAGAAAAACCACAAAGATGTATAACTGTTCTGAACTCAACATTCCAAAATTTGAATGTGAAACATTACCAAAATATGAATAAAGAGTAACAGCGTACTGTTACACTCTGTTTATGTTATTTTGGATATACTTTCTCTTATCCAAGAAGACAAAATAGTTCGCTAGTTAAAATATAAATAGTAATGCTATAAGCTCAAAGCAAAACATCACAAAATCTAATATAATCCAGCTCTGATTAGCTCGATTGGTCTTAATTTCAAGCATGTTTATTGATTCTAGGATGCTATCTGTTTAGAATAAAAGTAACTACATGTGTATTTAAGGTACTCCGTTCAGGTGGTTAATGAAGTACTTTTATTTTCAGTATTTAGAGGAAAATCTCAGAACTGCAAGAAAAAATATTTCTCATCTAAAGATACATTAAACTTGTATTTATAGTTCTTTTTATTTTTTGAGACTGAGTCTTGCTCTGTTGCCCAGGCTGGAGCGAAGTGGCATGATCCTGGCTCACTACAACCTCCGCCTCCTGAGTTCAAGTGATTCTTGTGCCTCAGCCTCTCTAGTAGCTGGGATTACAGGTGCGCATCACCACACCCGGCTAATTTGTTTTTGTATCTTTAGTAGAGATGGGGTTTCACCATGTTGCCCAGGCTCATCTCAAACTCCTGAGCTCAGGCAATCCACTCCCCTTGGCCTCCCAAAATGCTGGGATTACAGGCATGAGCCACCGTGCCGGGCCTATAAATAGTTCTTCATTAGAAGAAGCTTTGTCCATTATGTGTTATATGTCATATCTCAGAAGGATTGAATGCTCCTAGGAGTGCTAGCCAATGCAACAAGATAGTAGTCAGAAATAATGATGAGAAGGACAACAAAACCAATTTGCAGATGCTAAGGCTGTAGTACCTAAACCATCCCAGAAAATCAACTCTAAACTATATAAATTAATGAGAGAGTTAAGCAAAGTGGCCATATATAAAATAAATACAGCCAATGGATTTCCTACACACCAGCATATACTAGTTAGAAAGCAAGGAGTATTTTCCACTATAAGAGCAACAAGGCCCAAAATATGTAAGTGTAACACTAACAAGAAGAAAACTACATAAAATTAAAAGATTTCAGTAAAATGGGACATGATCTATGTTTTAAATGGAAAGATTGTATGTTGTAAAAACAATTCTTCCCACAAGATTGCATATAAATTCAAATTAAATTCCAATGAGACTTTTAAAGGGAGACTTAAAAATCATTCTAAAATTCATCTGGAAGAATAATAGGGCAATACTTGCTATGGAAATGGGAAGCAGATGTTCTACAAATATAAAAATACATCATGAAATGAAAACAAAACAGTGTGGGTGGTATTAGTCTGAGAATTATTAGATTGATGAATCAGAAAAGGTGGAACCAGAAAAGATGCTGGTATAAGATCTTACTATATTGTTATAAAGGAAGCATCCTAAGCTAATAAAAAAAGAAGGGATAGTTACTCAGCCAATGATGTTAGTCTGTTTGGAAAATAACTAAAGACAGAGCTTCAATTGACACTATATGTCATAAACCAAAATGAGTTCCAGATGAATTAATGGCCAAATGTAAAAAATAAGAGATTACCAAACAAAGCACGTGAATATTCAGTAGACATTAAAGGATGAAACTTCTGCAAAAAATCAGTGTTATATTTGAGACCATAAACTCCAGCCTCTAATAGTTTTTTGTCAAAACAACACAAAACAAAACTTACATTCTCAGTGATAAGTGAGAATATGTTTTCAGCAAATATGAAACAATGTGAGAGACAATAACATACAGACTGTTCACAAAGAGATAAGAGGATTACTGCACTTTGAATAGAAAAATGGGTAAAAGATAGTTGTATTTAATTCAGAGAACTACAGAGGAAAAAAATGTTTAGAATTACAGGCAATCAAAGCTATAACATTTTTAAAACGTTCACCTCTTTCTTTTTTTACTTTCTTTTTCTATTTTTTTCTCTTGGCAGGCATGAGTGTAATAAACAATCACATAGCTGGTCACAGTGTAGACTGGTACATCTTGTCTGGATAGCAAGTGACAAAATGTTTCCAAGCCCTAAAGCTGATTATCCTCTTTGATGCAGTGAGTCTCAAAACAGAACTCTATTCTAAAGAAACAATGAAGATATAGACAAAGACTGATAAATAATGATGTTTATCCAACCCGTGTTTAAAATAGTGTAAAACTCTGTAAGCGAAGTATGTGTCCCAGATTATGGATTAACTATATATTACAGTACAATCACAGTATGGACTATTAGCTTTGTAGATAACATATATGGATATTTGAATATATAAGTGCGCTGATATATACACACATACAGATATTAAGGGGATAAAAATAAGATGGAAGAAAATATGTCAGAATATGGGTAGTATATTGCTCTGTTCTATCATTCCATTCCATTCCATTCCATTCCCATTCCATTCCCACTCCATTCCCACTCCCACCACTCCATTCCACTCCATTCCACTCCATTCCACTCCATTCCACTCCA